TGCTCAAAGACAGCGGAACTGCCTCGGTGAAGCTACGGGTGGACATGCTGGTGCTGCTTGTTTGTTGTCGTTTTGTCTTGAATGAATCGAATCGAAGGAAGAGGGAGTGCAAGCCCCTTTCTATTCTACAGGCTGGCTAGCTAGAGCAGTGATCGAATAGTAGACCCTCAAAGCAAGGACGATAGAGGACACCTGTGCCTTCAGGCGAGGTCCTATCCAAACTCCATGTGTGTCCTCCGTGCATACGCGAAACACATTTATTTTCATCGATTTATTTAGGCCTACGTATCAAGATTTCATTCCTATCCATGTGACACACATACGCGGTACGCGAAAGAACAGGTGAGCCCGAATGTGAATCGAATCGAATGTTTCAATCGAATCGAATCGAATCGAATCGAATCCACTCGTCACGAGTTAACAGGATCGAAGCTACCGTACTAGCTAGATAGCTACCAACAGACCAATCTCGACAACCAAGAAGGCTAACAAGCTTCCAATAGTAGTAGATGGGTTAATGGCTTGGTTTGGCTTGTTAACCTTCTTGGTTGTCGAGATTGGTCTGTTGGTAGCCACTGCTACCGGTACAGTACTAGCTAGTACCGAATTCGAAAAGATAAAGCTTGCCGATTAGAGTTAGTGATTTGTGGGGTTGGTTGAGGTCGGCCTGCTCTAACGCGTTCTGATTGGTCCTACGCGAAATCCATTTCCATGAAAGCTGCGGTACGGCGAATCATTGATTTCCCATTCTCAATTCGCCGTACCGCAGCTTTCATGGAAATGGAGAGAAAGCAAGCCGCTTTTTGCCGTTATCTTGATTTCGCGTACGTATGGAGGAATAAAGAGGTATAAATAGGTGGTTAGGACCGCACCTCAGAAACAATTGTTGCTGTGTCGGCCACTTACTTTGGGGAGGTCATGAAGGCGGTCATCATCGCCAGATGATGCCCTGAGGCCTTCTCTCCTCTCGTGACTGATTGGAGGTCGATCACGTACATGACGTCGAAGCCCGAACCGAAAAACAAACGGAAGCTGCCCGAAGCGACCTCAACACTGTCAGTCCAAAAAAAGAGAGGAGATACACGTACCACACGATGAGGAGGAGCTTGAGGGGAGGGGCCTCCACCCACCAGGGCCATGAGATTACATCGAAATAGCATTTCCACTAGGCCAATTCCTCCTTGGAGATCCCTTCTGACCGAGACAGCATACTGAGGGTGGAGATTGTGCACAGAAAAGCCTGTGGTGGTTCCAATGGCCAAACAGCCTCCATCTTGGTTAAAGGAACAAGTGAGCAAGGAAGAGTGTGGTTGGTTCTCAGATTCTTCTTCATCGGTGACCACACCATTCGTGGAGGAAACTGCGGACGCCATGAGCCGAACTTCAGTTGTACCGAGGTTTTTTTTTTTTTTTTTTTTTTTTGTCGTGACAGCGCTACAAGTGTCAAGATGAAGATTCTTCCGAAGTAGACTTTGCCTGCTTTCTTGGATTGGTTTCCAGATACGAGTAAGCAAGAGGATTCAAGCAAGCAACAACGGCCAAGGTAATTGCAGAAACAAGAAGGTGTTGAGATAAAGGTGTTCACTGTGAGGGCAGGGGTGATGTGGAGGGTTGCACTCTTCGCCTGAGAATTCAGAGGAATTTGATGAACGAATCGAATCACAATCGAATGACAACAATCGGATCTTGAGAACGAACGATCTCGATCACCAACCTCCTCAATCAGTCCCGCAGTACCGTACGGTACCGGTACGTACAACTATGTAACTAACTAATAACGCAGTTAGCGAACGGAAAGCCAACCTTCTTGATGATGGGCGAGGCAAGAGTTGGTTTTTATCCTTTAAGCCGCTCAAGCCTTGAAGAAGCTGCTACCCATAGCTCCAGTACCGGTACTAGCTACCGTAGCTAGAAGTATAACATGGCAATCATACCCTTCCCAGATGGGCAAGAAACGGCAGTTCCGTCAACAATTGTAACTCCTGTGGGCCCAAAATGATATATGTAGCGGTATACGTGGAAGTAGCTTGTGGTACCAACGCGCATGCGCCACGATTTGATTTGCACCAGGTGCAAACACCTGGCCTTTGGTACCGATATCAACGCCAACAGCAGGGTGTGCACTTTACACGTAATCTCGCAGCTCTTTGTTCGTGCATCCGAAGTCCGGTACCCGCACTTCAGGCTTCGTCAAGGCGTACCGGTAGTGGTTGGCCGCGTTGCGAGCAACAGAAACCTTCATTCACTGAGTTTCATCCCACCCTACTAGATGCTGGAGGAGCGACTTTGGGGCTTCAGTTTACAAAAAACGCAGCGTGTTTGATTGCAAACCAGGCTGCCCTTTTGCTTCGGGGTTATCAACCCCCCAAGTATTCCGGTAGCCCGATCTAGCTAGCCTTGTTCGTCGAACGTTTCCAGACACTTGACAATCCGTTTTCTGGTCGTTGCTGGCTTGAAGAGAGGATGACGACATAGGGATGGTATCGTCACTTCAACGATATAATGGCATGTGCTGTCTTCTTGCACAGATACAGCAAAAGTGCTATCGCAAGACAATCGCACGGTACATGCACGCTCCATGGCGGGAAACTCGTTTTCGGATGGATCTTCCAGCAAGCACACTTCCCCATTTGTGTATTCAAGCTCAAAGTAAGCGCCATTTCCACCATGGCGAACGGTGCCATGGAGACCTTCCAGCAAAGTATCGGAAGTTCTATTGACAATGTGCCTCCATTCTTCAGGTTCTGACAATGGATCCCTATCTTTGTTGTAGTATCCTAAGAGGAAGTGTGTGTCATCTGCTGGGTTTGTCTTTTTGAAGTTTGGTTTGGCCTTTCCACTAGCGTTTTCAGGGCCATGAAACTGTCGGATGTAGTGTTTGTGGCAATATTCATAGGTCCACCAACCTACTCTGGCGCTGTACAGACAGTTGTCCCCCAAAGTCTCATCCAGAATATTGGAAACAGTGAGAAACTCAATGGTTGAGGGGCGATTGGCCATCGCTTTTATGACGCCGTTTGTCGTCGTCGTTGTCGTCATCAGATACGACGTCGTCTTCCAGCCCCAATTCATCAATCTGCTCATAGATATCGTAAACGTCCGTCTCCTCGCACAATACAGGCGTGCAAACATCCATAATGTAGCGACAAGGCCGGTTGGGATCCTCACGTATCCTGGTTAGGGCTGCAAGCGCAATATCCGTGGGTGTCCCTTTCACAAGCGTTGTGCTCGAGTAGGATCGTGTTTCTTTCTCGGTACAGCACCGAATGTTCACGATAACTTTATACTTCCTGTTTCCTGCTTCCTTGCACCTATCCCCGCCCGTGTACCTTTCCTTGATCCAACCCATTGGCTCGGCCTCAGGCTCTCGTTTGTATGCAGAAGGATAGTCTTCTGAAGGAACACGTATCTTCCTGTTGTCATGGTAGCCTAGGAGGGACACTCGTTCCACTTTTATCCTCTTGTTGTTGTCTGCGTCTTGTGGCGGGACATTCAAATGGAACCTATGAATCTTTCCCTCCCAACACCACTCATAAGTCCAATATCCGATGCGTTTCTGGACACACACATTGTCCAAAACATCCACTTTTTGTTCAATATCCAGGATTGTAAATTCATTGATGGTCCTGTCATCTAGGGTTCTTTCTTCGTCGGGTCCAAAGTCGTCTTCATCGTCAAGACCTTCCTCATTGACGTATGAATCCTCTAGATCATGCAACGCTGGATCCACTTTGCGTCTGCCATGGCCAAGAACTCGGGCAGCCCGAAAGGCAACATCCCGATTCTTTTGATTCTCGACATCGACTGATGTTCTTGCCGTTGGAACCTGAAACATACTATCTTTCATACTTTCAGGTTCCAGATCATCTTCATTGTAGGCTCGACAAGCATAGTTTCGACCAAGTCCATCTGCAATTTCCCAGTATTGAACCTCATCATCAAGAGCATCATTGTCGCGTAGAACCTGATCCGGCAGCTTGAGTGGCAGAGACGCAAGGCGACTTTGCGTGGCTCTGCTGTAACCACCATAAGGAGAACCATAAATAGAAATGGGATCCAAAACTTCCTCATTGTATTCATCATCTCGCTGGAAAGGACGTGCTTGAGGCTGCCCGGAACAGAACAAGAAAATGTAAAAACGAAAGAACAATCTGAAGCTCTGCCTCCAATACCGGTAAGACTTCTTCATGGTTCAGATTTTCAGATCACAAGCAGACTACAAGGGCCACGGACATATGCATCTATGAGGATGAATTCAAAGCCCCACAACAACAAAGTTGATTGACAGAATTGTGATGAGTGGAGGGCTCTATCGGTGCTACGGTAGCTAGAGCTAGGTAGTATCCTTGGCAAAATAGAGCAAAGATACGGCATCGACTGAGAGGGACAGGGCTTTAAGTTACTAAGGTTAAGGATAAACTGATTGAGTACGGCACGACTGTTGAAGGCGCAGCAAAACATCTCTCCCTCGTTGAATTCCTATTGTAAACAGGAGGTAAATTCAAGCTTGGCCGACAACAATGTTGAATCGATCGATCGATTATCGATCGAACGACTGGTTCGGTGCTGACGAGGTAAGCCTCTATTATCAAGTTGTTATTGAAGGTGCAGATTCGAAAGCCATCCCTCATTGAATTCTATGGACCGCGGGAAGGCAGTCAAATCTCGGCCATCAACAGGTGAGTTGTTTTCATTATTCGAGTGCAAGTTGAGTCAGTCACACCTCTATCGGTGCCAGTACCATATTATCCAAGCTTCAGTCAAGCGGGCTGTCTCCGGTGTAGATTCAAAGCCATCCTCATTGAATCCTATGGACCATGGGATGGCAGTCAGTTCTCGGCCCATGACGGCCAAGTTGGTGCAATTTGAAAAGCAAGGGTAAGTCTCCGGTCTTCTTCAGTTCAGCACAGTGAAAGCGTTACAGTTCCTCCCACGACTCAGAGTATCCGTGAGTAGATTGAGTCTGCTTTATGAGTCAACACGATGGAATAGAGAATGCTGGCAAGTACACGTTCTCAACGAAACCAAAGGACACGGTAAATGGATTATTCGACAGGAGTAAAGCATCCTGCCAACGAACCGTTTCCGGCAGATACCACGTTGACTTCCGTATGAATCAAGATCAACTACCACGATGCATTGATCTAACACGCTACGAACTAGCTTTACTGATCGCATCAATAAAAGCTCACAACACAGATTATGATTACTAAGAAGCGAGCTTTGCATTTCCTTGCACTCGTCTTGAAATAGTTGCAGTTGATCTCGTCGTGGTAGCTACCTCTACAGATCCCTCTATTCAAGTAGTATTTCCCCACGTTAGACGATTAACTAGTCGCAGTTACGCACTGCCACACCTCATCAAGATGGCCGATGAAGCAGCCAAGCTCAAGCATGTCCTATGCACCCATGCGGCGAAGACGCTTCCACACAGGGTACAATGCATCTCACATGCGCATCGCACTGTCTGAACAAGGAATCGAGGATGGATGGATCTCCTACTTCTCACAAGATGAAGTTATGGATCTCCAAGCTTCCAACGACACCAACGCGCTCCAAGACCAGTACCTCTCACCAGGAAGAAGCTACTGCTCGCGCGATACAGATGTATCACCATTGGTCGTTTAAGAAGAAAGCACATGTCCGCATCGTATCACAAACGGCCACCGCGCTCGACGCTTTCAGAGTTGGACTCTTCCAGCCACACGGCGAAATCGTCCCATGGCAGCAAATGAGACGTAGCGATGCACGATGACGATGGGGAGCGTGCAATCGCACTTTGGGACAAGACAACAAGCCCGTCCGCTCGAGTTCAGAGAGTTTCGCGGCGAATCAGCCTTCATCAAATGGAGGAGAAGAACTTCCTCAACACGCTCAAATCTCAAGGTCTCTCCACCTCATTGATTCTGACTTCGCGGTCACCAACGTCGAACTAGACAAGAAACAAGAGAATGGATGTACAAGACCTTCGAAGACATCTTTCAAGAAGCACAGGCGCGATCTGTCGTCCTTGCCAACGAAACCGACAAGGACACTCGTGCGATCTGGAAGGCAATTGACGAATTTACTCCAAGTCCATGGTCCAACCCTGCGCTCGGATAAGATCTCGTGTTATCTTACCTCCGCAGATATCGCAGAAGGTGTATGGAGAGGGCCCAAGCGGTTTCATCTCAACTTCCTCGAACAATTTGGCAGTACAATGAGATCAGCGACGAGCAATACACTGACCAGCAGGGAGCACGTTTCTTGGAACGCTCAATCTCCAGGCACCAAATCTCGCTCCCGTACGACGTCTCGCACTGCAAACCAAGAAAGCCGCAGGAGACACCTCCAAGTATACACTCGAGCAATACCGAGCACCCTTCTCGAGCAAGCACAACTGCATGACAGTGCAAATCATGCAATGTCCACACGCTCTCGAAGCAATGCCGTCGCCGCACCTACCAACTCGAAATTCTCTTCGATGATGGTACAGCGGAAACCTGTGACAACGCCTACGAGGCGTTGGTCCACGATATGGATACACCAGTGGAGGTCCTATTGCAAGCCCATCACACAGACACTCGCGGTCCGCGCAAGGTCATGATGAACGCAACCACATGGCGGTCGTTATCCAAGTCGGATCAAGAGGCATGGGATAATATCTCTGAGCAGGCAAGAAGAGCATCCTTGACTACACGACTGACTTAGCTGTTTGACGTAGCCAGCACAACCCCGGGCAACCACACCCATCCCGCTCAGTCAATCCCAGACTTCCTCGACGTGGGCACACCACGCCACGAGCAGGCAACCTGGAAGTGTCCTCGCACCAAACCAAGTCCAACAAGACGGACACCGACCTGTTGCAGCTCGCGTGCAACAAGAGCATTCAACGCCACCGTCCTTCGCTGGTGACATCGCGTCCGTCCTATCACAGCCGCCCAATACGGCTACATGCGAGGTACGAGTTCAGAGGTTGATCGCTCATCCTACGAATCCTACTCCCACGAAATGTTGTTCAGCGAGCCAGAGATTGATCCTGATGGCACCCTTCGTATATCTCTCTGATGGATCCGAGGACAACCAAACACAAACCACTCATGACATCTAAGAAGCGCATTTTAGCCACCCAAATTTACCAGTGTGCTTGTGCGTGATGGTCTTGTGCAAGAGCCTCTACAGTCCGATGCAGGTGCTACTATTAACTCAGCTTGCGTCAAATGATCTTGATGTTGCCTATAGATTCGTACGGTAATTGCGTCATAATAAGCAAGGCTACAACTAGTGTTTACGCATATGCTTAACGAAAGTGCATGGAGAAAAGAACATTCTTTACTATTAAACAAGATTCTTGTGGGTGCGCCTGCTTCAACATGCAAATGGGCACATTCTTTGTGCACCAAGCTATAAACAGTTTTCGCAATCGGCATTCATTTTCCTTATGCCCCTTGGACCTGACCGCATTCTGCGCTTTATCCAAGGCAAAAACTTTGGCCACCCCTCAAATCTTTTCCAGTTGAACAAAATAAACACGCACGATGGTCAAATTCAGTGCCCGTACTGCTAAAAACGTGCAAGACCGACTGGGGTTTGAAGCGGCATCAGGATACAGTTTGCCGAATCCCGCATTCGATTCAGACACGGACTGACCCTGACTCCCACGACAACGACCGTGGGGAGATGACAATGGCGGTGGTGGAAAAGGGAGAGCAAGAGATGATGAGAGACAAGCAGTGCAGAGGAAAATAGTGATGAGAAAAGACCTAGGAAGAAGATGCACTTGGAGCCAGAATTAGAGGCATAGAATCAATCACTGACAGAGAAGAAGAAGCACTCCAGACAAGAGTGACTTACCAGTGGATGCCACAACAGATAGTATTGCAGCTTATTGGGACGGAGAACTGTTGACACAGGAGCACATGAGGAAGACGTTGAGGCAAGTGCAAACGCATCACACGATGCTCCCCTTCCCAATGTGAAAGTGGATACGGTGGATGGGCAAGTGAAGCCGACTCCAGTGATGTTGCAGATTTCTTTGATCCATTTGCTGATCCGTCTTGATGAGGAAGCTCAAACCCATGCAGATAATGGGCAAGAGGGCAAATGCGATGAGCCAAGTAGGCAAACAATGAAAGAGTTCAAAGATTATGTGAGAGATGCATGTCAAAACTTTATACCCTCAAGCAAAAACGAGAAAGCAGCAATCAAGATCATGCACACATTGTTCAAAAAGAAGCCACTTTGGATACGTACGATGCTGTGATGGAATGGCACTTCAAGGAATGGTGGAAAGCTGGCAGAACACCAATCACTTGGTGAGTGCAAGGAGTTCATTTGCGCAAAAAATTTGATGAAGAAGCTCAAAACCGGTACAACATGGGCAAAAGTATGCCCAACCGATAGAGAAATTCTTGCCCCATACCAAGTCGAAGGTCAAAATATATCGCCGACATGCACGAGATCTTGTCGAAAGCCTTCTGACTGATCCACGATGGAAGATGAGGATTGGCTGTTCTTCTGCACTACGCTAAAAGCTAGTGTAAAGATCTTTCGAGTGTTTTGAGTTTGAGAGAATGAAAGTTATGAGAGGATTAGAAAGCTATGAAAACAATCAACGAGAGAGATCTACAATCAAAGGATCGTAGATCTGAACTCCGCGGAGACTGTAGATTGTGATAGAGTAGTTGCGGTACAATCCTACTCACTCCACGATCCAAAAACGGAACGCGTGAAGATTCGTCTAGCATTTATCTAGTAGCGTGAAGTGCTCCACGCTGGCTAAATATCTAGAGCGATGTTCATCATCAACCTAGTATGACTGAGCGGTCATGAGAACCCTGTCTCAATGACTATTCACGAGAGACTCAGTCATGAGTCGAACTCAACCCTATCTAGGATCGAGTCGCGAATAAGGCTAAGAGCCGTGTATTGCATTCGCCCCCTGACAAGGGTCACGGAAGCACGACATCAGTCGGACAAGGAGAACATATGAATTAATTTGCGGGGCACTCTCCGGAAATTGGATGTAGACATTTGCGTCGACGATGGCAATGCTACAAGGGATCAGGCCTTGTATGGGTGTAAATATCTTATGTTCCAAGTCTGGTAGACTGTGCCGCTACTGGCGTTAGTATGTCGGAAGCCGTACAGTGCCATTGTATTGACTCGGTCTGTTGTGGTAAGGACCTTTGGCTGACCGAACTAACGGTTCTGATACTGATGAATCATCATAGTATCGTTGACATGGTGTTGATGAGGGACACGTGCCGTGTTCTCCTTATCGGTGTTTTCTGGATAAGTCGTTGGCGACGTTCCTTAATGTATTTCCGGTTTGCTTTGAAACGGATGTGGTGAATCTTGTCACGATTGACGCGCGTGAACTTGCGACGAAGTCACGTTCATCCCGGAGAGTCTTCTCGACCTCTGCGCGGAACTCACGTTCTCTGTCCATGACAACCGGTCATGGTACTGGGTAACCCACGTCTGTTTCAGAACGATGGTTACTCCGTCTGCTGTCTTGGAGCAGCCCTTGGTAGTTCATTGTTCCAATGAATCCACGAAGTTCCTTCTTGTTGGTAGGAAGACGATAGTTGGATCGCATCTATTATCTTTTTAGTTAAAGGTTGGATTCCTTCTCGAGTTAGTCCAATTTTCTAGATACTCAAGTTCTTCCTTTGAGGAAGGCCTTGGTAGTGTGATTTTAACCCCGACTTCTTGAAGTCTTTTGGAAAGGTCCATCTAACTATTCAACGCGATCTCAGATCGACGTCAGTTAGGATGAGTTGATCATCAAGTTTGCACGGACATTTCTAATCATGCATGCGTGTTTTCATCTTCTTTTGGAAGATGTCGGGACTATTACATAGGCCCATTGGCAACCTCTGGTACTCGTGCTTTCCCCTCGGGAGTGCAATGGTACAGTGTTGCTTCGAGTGAGGTGACAGTCGATGTGGTAGTGTCCCGTGTTCAGGTCTAGACTAGTAGCGCACTGAATCCATCTAGGTTCAAGAGCATGTCTGTATTTTTGGGATAGGATAAGGCTTCCGCTTGATCCTTTTGTTCGGTTCCCGGAAATCAGAGACGAATCGTATAGATCCCTCTTTCTTGGGAATGATAAAAGTTGGTGCCGCCCACTCGGACGATTCACCTTCTTGAGTACTCCTGCTTCGCAGGAGACGTTCAACCTCCTTCTTAAGAGTGTTGGTATGGACCCGTGGATAGGGTGAGCCCTAGTATAATAGGATTTAGCGTCGGGACGAAGTTTACTTCGTAGTCGTCCATTCGCAACTTTCCCAAAGTATCTCGACTGGGCCGAAGCACTTGGTTGAAAGGCATGAGGCAGTTCTTGCTCTCCCTTATTTAACTGGTTTTCGACTCTGACGCATCTGCCTTAAGTCTGTTTGTTCGTATGTCGTATCAAAGAATCTTCTTGAGACTATCTGCATTGTCGCTGACAGCTGCAGGATCGGGAATGGGAAGTTCTCCTTTCTATCAGTATCGCCATCTTTCGCAGGAAAAATACGCTGTTCCACTCCAATGACATGGTAGTGAAATCAAACTTGATTCTTAGGTCGCAGAGAGTGTCTTGACCTATGATCACGTCTTGCGCCCCCAATTCTTGGTGACGTGTAAATTCCATTCGATAATTCTTATCATCGTGGAACTCAGAATCACGAGTGTGCCCTTACACTTCGTGCGGGGTTTCAATTCCTTTAATAGAAGCAGTCCGTAATGTTTGGACGCCCCCGATTCTTCATGAGTAAACTCTTAGCATGAGTTTGAGTAATTAAGGTTCCGGATGCTCCTGTATCCAGTAAGCAACAGAGTGTAACGGGTTTTTTTGTTTCCCTTTCTCTCGTCTGTTAAATCTAACATAGACGATAGTTTCGAGGTCTCTTTCTTGCGACGTTGATGAGTTGATGGCCATGGACGAAGTTAACGATGCTGAACAGATCGTCAGAGTCTAGTTGAGTAGTTGCCAGGCAATTATCTAATTTGCCGTAGACTTCATTAGTTGCAAACAAATCTTGTTTACTATTAGTGAGATATCTTCATCACTTAGGTATGAGAAATCGGAACATGGTCCCGTTGAATCATCATACCTGGCCTAATCCTCAGACGAGATCTCTCCATCCGAAGATTGAAGTCGAATTCGGCAAGGCCTTGTCGACGGCAGCCATTTTCTTGTCCATCATGTTGATGGATCCAACAGAGGAGTCGTCCTCGTTGTCGGAGTTTTCTGACTTGCGTTGGCAACATGGTTGCATTCGCTTTTCTTCTTGCGATCAGCCTTGACCCAGCGTTGGAAACTTTTTCATGAGGACAGAGAGTTCCTTCTTGGTGTAGGTCTTGGCGTCGTCGGACTTGCGTTTCCAGTCTTGTTCTTGTTGTACGCTGGCGTTGTATCGTTGTCAGACGAGGACTGAGACTTGGCCTTGAGCTTCTTCAAGTCATGCAGTAGCAGTGTTGTGAGTGCTGGACTCGTGGTAGTCGCACCATTTTTCTTCGTTCTTGGAAGAGTGGTGTTGTTGGAGTAGACTTGTACTTCTTTCTGTTGTTTTTCTTCGAAGGAGCTTGCTTGGCATCACCGCCCTTGTCAAAGTCTTCGGAGGATTCCATGCGTTGCAGAATCCAATGGTTTCTCCGATAGGAGTGAGAAAGGATCGAAGTCGTGTTCGTCCATCTTCTTCATCCAGAGCTGGAATTCATGACAAACAATGTCAATGACTTCGTCATGGTTCAACGTTTGGTTGGGTCCAAAAGGTGGTAGACGAGGTAAGTTA